AGTGATTTGCTAATGCACAAAGCCAGTATGAATGATTACGGAGACAGGGTCTTTGTTTTAATGATAAATTTCACATATTCTCCTGCATTGCAATGAAAAAAGAGTCAAGATTCTGAGAATAAAAAGTAGGGGAAACATGAGGAAAGCTGATTACGCATTGATAAGCACGTCAGGCACCCTAGAAATTACTCCTGCCTGAGGCTGTGTGAACAACTGATGCCTCAGTCTGGCTGCTGAATTGAAAGGAAACCCCACAACAACCTGTTATCTGTTACCAAAATGAAAGTTCAACACAGTTTGCTCAAATATTATGTTGATTTCCCCCTTCCCCCCCACTTTTTTTTCCATAAATGCTTGAAATTAAACATAATGGACAAAAGCACTGAAGGGTTGCTGCGGGTTATCCTTTTATCTAAAGGTACAGGAGGTAGCACACATATCCAAAATGGGTGATACCTAAAGTGTTTTGAAAGGGGATCTGAACCCAGCAGGGAATTTGAACCCAAAATGCCCCAAAGCAGAGGTTCAATGTATTCTGCACTGAGACTCATGGTATCTTTTGCTGGCACCGTTTCATTTTCCATGAATAGTTATTAATCCGATCTCTGACTCCGTGTTGCCCCAGTTACTATATGCAATGTTAAGGATATTGCCCTAAAATGCAGCAGACACTTCAAATGCATACACATACAAAAGCAGACAATTGGGCAACCCGATCTAGTTGAAGATGTCCCTGCTCATTGCAGGGGGGTTTGGACTAGATGAGCCTTAAAGGTCCCTTCCAACCCAAACCATTCCACGATTCAATGAATTGCATGCACAATTCAACATTGCATAAAGGGAATTTAGCAAGCTTCAAATGACCTGGTGAACATGCACAGAGCAACACCAAGATGCTATCTGTCTCCCAGAAACAGCATTACTGCAGTAGCACAGTGTTGTACTTGCAAAGGGGGGTTGGAACTTGATGATCTTAAGGTCCTTTCCAACCCTAACTATTCTATGATTTGATGAAAGGGAACACCATCAACTGAGACTAGCTGGACTGCCACACTTCAGACCCTGAAGCTAGCCACAGAACTGTCTGTCTCAGCCCAGTGCCTCCTAACTCCCTCTGGTTTTTAGTGCTTCCTTTAGCTTCTTATGTTAAAGCCTGTAATAAACTTAAATTTCATGCACTGTAGTGGAGTACACAACTACTTCGTGAAGGAACGGTGCCACCACTAAATACATCTCTCCAGCCCCAATGGTTGATAAGTAAATGTGAATTCACAATCGTTTTTAAAGATAGCCAGTCCCCACTCTGAAGACATTGCTATTCTCCAGTTGTCGTTCTCCAGTTGTTTTCCCATCATCATGTTCTGATTATGAGCAAGCACCAGGGTAACATTTAGGAGGGAAAGAAATACCTGACCAAGTTGCTAGAAAGACTGCCTTCATTTTGCAAACATAGTTGCATGTGCTTCTGCAACTAAAAAACAGTGATTATTAGATTCAATAGGTTAAATCTAAGCTGATTTTGTGGGCAGAAGGTTTGCATGAAGTCAGACTACTGGCACTATTCACACCATCCTGTGCTGCAGGAAGTGCATTTCACTGATAGGAATTACACACTTTATCTCCAAATCCAATGCATGAACATGCATAAATATATTCCTATTGTCAGGGGAGGGAGGGAGGGAAGTGAGTAAGATTTGTTATGAAGTTGGGAAGAGTAGGGTAGAAATCTCTTCCATATATCAATCAGGAGAGTAAACAGGCTACGATTCTTCAGCTTGGAAAGAATGAGGAGCAGGGTTATGAGAAAAGTCTATAGCGTTGTGTGTGTGGGACATTGAAAAAGTTACTGTACAATAATTACTCATAAGTTACCACAAAACAAGAAAGAGCTGGAGAGCACCCAGTTGAGTCATCAGACAAGAAGTCTATTAAAAACTAAAAGGAAGCTCTGTTTCGCAGAGTGAAATCCACCATCACAAAACTATGGGCACAACAAAAACACGTAATGCTGAAAGAGCAGGAAAGTGGGAGTCTACAGGCCTTTAAACACAGTGGACCAGTTGCACTTCAAATCCAGCTGGCCCCAGAGTTACAGTGCTACCACTTCCCTGGAGCAGAGCGCAGCTTCGGGAGCTGCCACATTGGGAATTAATACACAGTGAGCCTCAGCTTCCTCACTGGTTTCCCCTCTGAATTAGACAGCAAGAAGCCCCCTTCAGGTGCAGAATACTTCTTCCTCTACACTCAACACACCTCCTGTTCCCCATCCCTGCTTGCTCCTTTCTTGTTCTCTTGGGAAGGGGTGAAGCACTGCCTGGAGGTTGCTGCCAGGATCGGTAGGGCTGTCAGTCTATAAGGCTGGGGGTCCTCCAGGGAGCAGGGTGACTGACAATGCTTTGCTTGCTGTTTGGGCAAAGGACCAATCTGGAAGTGCACATAGAGAGATGGTGCAGTGGGAGTAAAGGGGAAGTGCTCAGGTGCTCTGAGCAGAAAACATGTGCAGGTCCAGGGAACAGGACGCACCTCAAAACATTCCATAGAATCACAGAATTCTAGGCTGGTTTGGGCAGGAAGCGACCTTAAAGCTCATCCAGTTCCAAACCCTGCCACAGGCAGGGACATCTTCCACTAGAACAGGTTGCTCCAAGCCCCTTCCTATCATTTATTCTTAACTGCCTGCTCTGCAGAGGAAGGTCTCACTGCTGAAATTTATAGACAAGGAGAGAAAACGCTTATCCCAAGTGAATGATTCTAATTATTCTCTCATGGTCTACAACTTATTTGGTTCTTGGCCTTCACTTCTTATGTTACTCTGAAATTGCAATCCAGCATTCAGCAACATAACAAATGGATGATGCCACCATCAAGGCCAGTTATTTGTTGTGACCAAAGAGAAGAGAGAACAGGGTGAACACTAAACTGAGTTCTAAAATAAACAGAGTCTGTCTGCTCCCCTTCTCCCCAGCAACACTTCCCAAGCCTACTTGCAAACTCCTACATGATGCCTCTGAAAATGCTACAACAGGAGATATTTGCTCTTGCTCATAAAAATAGATTCATCAAAATCATCACGTGGGACTATTACTACAAATGCATCCCAGATGAGCAGAATTACTGTAAGTAGGACACAGAGGAAGAAATCTCACAGTTTCAGCTGTGGGATCTGTCTCACACAGTCAACACTTTAACTCTAGAAGGCTGTGTATATTCAAAAGCCAAGAGCATGTTCTCTCCTTTCCCTTTAGAGGCTTGCACAGAAGTACCAGGGAAAGGTTTTAGCATTCTGGATTACAATTCGTAATGTAAAAGGGCCACAGTATTTAGGTCAGAGCATTTGAAGGAGACGAGAAAGTCTGGTGAACAAAATCAGCCCTTTTTAACATGTAATGTTGACACTTCAGAGAACAAAAATACAGGAACGATCACAAAAATTGAACTAGGTCAGCACCGTCTCTTTTCCTCTCACTCCTGAGGATTGCCAGCTGCAAACTTGGGCTACATTATCCCACAGCAACTGCAGAATGATTCTGTAGCCTCTAATCAGGTCTTAATTCTCACCCTGGTTTTAGAGGAATTCTAATATAGTGAGAGAGCAGCCACTGAAAGTATTCCAGGGGTATTTTTGGCAGCTAATCAGCATTCACCACTGTATTGAGATTTACGCTGTGCTCATTTCACAAGTGTAGGAGAAAAGTATACTCTGTTCACTGATGTGTATACTGCACTGGAAAAACATTTGCAGGATTCTTTATGCATACTATCAACAGTAATGGTACTCATGTGTAATGTTTTTGCTTGCTTGTGTTTCTATATGCATGGATAAAACATAAAATAAGACAGATTACTAATGTGCTAATCAGAGAAACCCCGAAATAAACACTATTTTCATGTTGGATCCCAAAACTTTTCAAAGGCACAACATGCAAATTTACTTATTGAACATTTATGCCTTTGAAAATCTGCAGCTTTGGATCACAACACACCAGAACCAAATCTAAAGGCTTTGATCTTAATACCATTTTCACACAGCCAGCAAGGATACGCAGTTGTTCAAAGACATCTACTTATTACAGAGTATGTCTAGGTCATAAAAATCCATTCACTCAATTCATAATAGAAAATACTCAAGGACCTGTGTTATTTCACACACATGAAAAGACTTGCTAGAGAAATTGCAAATGAAGGGAAGTAAAAGCATGTGAGGTCCGCAACTGTTGAGGACCCTGACATCTTGTATAGCAAGGCTTGAATACCACTTAAATCCTTTATTGGCATAAGTTACCACCATTCCACATAGGTCAAAGGAGTTACATCTATGTGCTCTAGCATGGCCCTCTATTATCATCCAAGTAGAAAGAAAAATCTAGCCCAAACCTTATAGCTCAACGGATGCTAGTAGCTTTAAGATTCAGACCAGTTAGTAACAGGAGCAAGCTCCACAATGGAGCCCTTTTCCCCTCATTGCTTCCAAATCTGTTTGCAAGATTGAGTGATAAAATTGTGTGAAATAAACCAAACTACTAAGGTGGCAGTTACTCATGCATATCAGTGCAGCCCCTTGTCCCCAGAATGTTGACGACTTCATTTGTAACTGTCATGAATGCAAGCAGGTTACAGCACACAGACAGAAAAGAAGTATTTACAACACATCTAACACCCACCCCAAAACATCCATGCAGAACCCCCCAGGGTCTTAGACTGCAATGGCACCTTAGTTTTGCTCCAGTCATTAAATACATCCCCTCTGGTAGCAGGGCTGACAGTAGGTGTGGGTCAGCCTGCACCTTCTGTGTGTGCTGCAGATGAAGAGTGAGGAGCATGTGCACTGTGGAGGAGGAGTTGAAGCATGTCAAGGGGGGGAGGCAGCACCCTTCCTTCACAACAGAAACACACACACACACCCTGCCATGCACTTGGCAGCAATGTCCTGACCTGTGATTCACGTAACTCCAGTCATCTCAAAAGAAACAGAGAAAAAGAAATGAGACTTAAAAACTGACCTGTTTTTCATTTTCATCCTCCAGCCTCAGCCTGTCCTCAATGCAGTTCCTGGCCTGAAGGAATGCCTTCCTCTGAGCCCTTTCTGTCAAAATCCTCACAAAGACCCCATACAAATTTACACTGACAAAAAGGATTGCATTGGCCACAAGCTGTAAGAAAGAAAGAAAAAGAAACGCACAGTTTAAAACACAATTGTTTTACATTTCTACTCAGCAACATTAAAAAAAGAGAAGAAAATAAGCACTGTCTTTCAAAGTTCTGCCTCACCAGCCATGCCACTGATACCCCTTCCCACAACCCAACTGCAGTGAAACAATCACAGCAGCAAGTTCAGGCAAGCAGTACCACATAATACACACACTGCACCTGCTGAAGTTAATTTCTCTTACAATGATGTGTAGCTTAGCACTTTCATTCAGCATTGGTTCTTTCACCAGCCCATTGGCAGATCTGTGCATCTAATGAAAGCAGTATATTCAGCAGTTGTTCAACTGTGGGGTGCCTAGAAGACTGGAATGAATTCTCCTATAAAGCAGACATGGACAAAATCTGTGACTAAAGCAAAATGTGTGCCTGGGTACCCAAACCTTCATCTTGTGCAATTTGCACCTTGGAAATCTGCTTCTCTTCCCATAGCTATACCATTACCAACAATACTGTATTTTAGGACAAATCATCTAAAACATTGCTAATGTTACCCTGCAGCAGACCTCTTAGAAGGTGCCAAGTGCTTTCAAATGATGGCCTTTGGTACAAACCAAGTGCCACTGCAATGCTATCAGCAGGTACAGTGAATTACTTCTATGAATAGTGCTTAGATAAAGGACACACAGATGGCCCAATGACTCTTCTGGTCATTTTTTAATGTTTTTACAATAGGGGGTAAAGTTAGTTAACTAACCTAAATAACCTAAATAACTGTGGTTTGCACACAGCCTCCCTCCCTATCTAAGACAATCCTGGCTAAATTTCTCACTGCATCTGATGTTCAAAACATGTTCTCAGATGGGAAATTCTGCAATGCAACGCAGTATTTGCTTAGAAAGGAGGCAATAAGGTCTGTTTACCTAGTATCTCTGCAGTCTCTTTGTCTATATTTACTCTAGTTACGACCATAGCTCATATATCCCATAGTTTCAGACATAGAATCATAGAATAGTTAGGGCTGGAAAGGACCTTAAGATCATCCAGATCCACCCCCCCGTCATGGGCAGAGGCACCTCACACTAAACCACATTACCCAAGGCTCTGTCCAACCTGGCCTTGAACAGCGACAGGGATGGAACATTTGCATCTTGCACATGAATTGGCAAAAACTGGGTATAGTAAGAGCAAAGAAAGACATTACAGCAAGTAACACAAATCATATCAAATTCCTATGCACCTAAAATAGTTCATAAAAAACATATAATTGACGTTTATTTCTTAATACAAGGTTTACATTTCAAGCCAGTACATATCTACTGTTGCATGTTCTGTTAGTGTAAGCTGAAGAGGAGATCACTGCCCCTGTTCCCAGTGAAACCAGCTGTGCTAGTCCATGTAGGGAATGCTTACTGTCTAACAGGGCTAGGCTTGAAGGCTTGAATTCAGCCAATGTGGTAAGCAAAGATCTAAAATGGCATCTAGAAACTCCGTGCTGACTTTGGAGGGACTTTTACCAAAATAAGAAGGGATTTTCTGGGGTGTTTAACTAATGGCAGTATACATCTTACCGCCTGTGATCTCAGTGCAGAAGGGAGAACTGAAAGATTCATTCTGGGTGCATTCTCCAGACCTTCATGGATTCGAAAGTCCTCTAATTTTTACCTTCATACCTGGTTGTTATGATCTAAGAGTACCAGAGAATCAACCAGGCTGGAAAACACCTTTAAGATCATCAAGTCCAACCATTCCCCCAGCACTGCCAAGTCCACCACTAACCCATGTCCCTAAGGGCCTCATCTACACAGTGTTTGAGCATTTCCAGGAACGGTGATAAAGAACAAACATTCTCACCAGCACAAAATCAAAAGATACTCTATCACAATAAAGGCAGCTCTGTCTAGCATTAGTGTTTTCCTCCTCCTCCTCCAACACCCCAAAAGAAACAGTTATTTCACAAGAGCAAACACTCGTGAAGAACGGTGTTACAGCTTCCTCCTGAGAACTGCAAAAAGCAGGTTCAGGTGTCATCAGTCAGATGAATTTCAACCTAGGAATCTCATGCACCAGTTACTTATGTGTCATTTCTCACAGATGGTAATACAGACGGTAAAACTTTTAAGGTGAAAAGCAGTACACGAGCGTATTATTTCATAATACAGGCTGAGCATAAGCAATCTGCAATTCCTATCCTGCTTTATTTTGCTTCATCACAGAGAACTGTTAGGGGTATATCAATTTTCAGCACAAGTTAGACCACTAAAATGAAATTACTGTAGAAATTCCAGTAGAATACTCATTTTAGAAGCACAAATGCAACCACATTGACCTTATCCCTGCATTTTATCATGCTGAAGTGTAACGGCAACGGTGTATTTTAAAGCTAATTCTTAGAAGTGCAATGGAATAAAAATAGAAAGGATTTGTAAAAGCCATATTCAAAGGCAGTGGAGAGAGTCCAAAGAATAAACAGTCAAGACAGAGAGAGCGTAACAAAACAGCTGTTAGTAATAGGGGGTGGAAAAATAAAACCATCTTTATGTGCTGGTATCAAAGTGGCCCAAGACATAAATAATTACTTCTAGAGAGAATAAATAAAGGGCTCAGTTCAGTTTCTGGTCCTCAACTGCAAGCGATAGAAGACCTAATATTGTGGCAATGTGCTAGCTGCTCTGGGTCTATCATTAAGGTTTGAAGCAATGGTGATCACCTGGACTGGGGGCAACCGGTAGGTGGGTTCCTGCAATCATGCAGCCACTTTCAGGCTCAGCAGGGAAAGTCATTTTCTGACATGCTTTGAACAGTTTAAGATAAAACAGAGGCTTAGCTGTCAGCCCTGGCCTGCAGGGAACCAGAAAAAGTGATAAAGCAAGTAAAAGATTCATAGATTTCAAAGTGTGAGAAAAGAAAGTAGGGCATTTTGTCTCCTGAGGTAAGAGTTCCTTCCCTCCACAACCCATTTTCGGCTTAATTACTATCTCTTCCTCAATTGCAAGCTACATACATCTGTCTCTCTAGGTTTCTCAAATGCATGCCATTTCCTGGTCCCTTTCATTTTAATATGTAAATATGTTCATCTCTATATACAAACATACATACACATATAACTCACACATGATATGCTGTAACTCCAGGAATGATTGAGAGACTTGCTGTTAAAGCTGAGCATCTTTCAAGAGATACGGAGGCATCCAGAACTACTGAAATACCAATGAATTGAGTTTTAAATCATTCCTACATTATTTACTATACTACTGCTCAATAGCATAAACAGCACTCTTCAGATTTCACCATCACCTTCTATTTCCAGAACTGCCAAAGAAACGATTTACTCAATGCAACACAAAATGACTCAAAGACATTTTTATGCTGCAGCCTCTTTCAAACAATGCTATTCTCTCATTCCACAATGAGATTACGGGTCAGTCAGGATAAAAATAGAAAAGAGGATCAGGGTCATGAAAGCTTTTCTTTTTTAAATTACTTTAAAATTGATTGTTGTCACTGAACCTTGTATTGTGCATTCTACATCTCCACTGCACATCAGTACCTACATCCTGAGCTCTAAGCTGCTCTAGTCATCAGTGGGGTAGACTGTCAGTCAGTGGATGAACCCTGGCATGGTTCCTTCTGCTCTGGAGGGTATTACCAAAGACAGGCTTCCAACACAGCTAGCTCTTGTGGGCTTCCTGGTCGGTGAAGGACTGGCAGCTCCAGCAATTTCAACCAAATTCCTGTCACTCCTGGCTTTTTTACCCGTTGCCTTTCTTGGGTCTCAAGTTACTTTCTGCAGGGAACACAAACTGTACAATAGAGCAATTCCCATCTAGGAGCAAGCAAGTAATTCTGGAGGTAACAGCATGTAACATGCTCATGCATACACAGGGCTTGAGAAGTTCAATTCAACATCTCCCTTTCATTTTTCCCCCTAGAATCACCTCCCACTTTTTGAGTGTCCCTTGGGATTAGTTAAAAGACTCTTTGAAGAGTCTCTTGAAACTCCTCTCTCTGTTCCAGATGGGATTTATTCTCCACTTCTTTTTCCTTCAAAGCAAGATGCATTCACACATGCACTTGCTCTCTCTCTCTCTCAAACAAATGGTGAAAAATTCTTCTTATCTGCCTTTTAACAGGACTCTGCTTACTCAGCAGACTAATTCTGCTACCAGGTAAACAGATACACAGTAGATGGCTCAAACCTGAGGCTGGGTTTCACTGTGGAGTAATTTTCTGTCTCACAAAATAAGCTTATAGAAAAATGGGGCTGTTTCACAAAGGTGTGAATCACCTCTGCATTACTCAAAGGCTTTTTTTACAAGGTGGCATTCATGTGGATGGATGCTGAAGTAGACTAAATGAGAAACAGAAATTGCCACAGAACAAAACTTCAGGAGACTCCCGAGAACTTCACTGTGCTTTCTAAAAGCTGGGCCTGTGGTGTGAATGGGATTGAGAAGGGATTTCAACAGTTAACACTCCCAGGGTTCTAATTTATAGTAGCCAATATCGAGAATGGATTTATTCTCAGCAGCATGAGTTCTCGTGCTATCTCATGCAGTAGAGTGGAATACGTAGGAAAAACGGCCATCGTTTCCTAACGAAGGTAGCAATTTGAGGAAAAGAGACCAGTACAGTTCTTGCATGTCACTCAGATAACTAGTATGACAAGAGGTATGGTGGGCTGAATTCTGCTCCCAGTGTTCTCTGATAGTTGAATTTTACTGCAAGTAATTTCTGGGCCACTACTGCTGTTCCTGCTGCACAGACAATGTAACATTTACTCATCCTGTCAAAATGCTTTGAGATACGGCAATGAAATGCATTATTGTAAAATATGAATGTCTAATTGTGAGGCATACCTCCGAGGAAAGAGCCATGAACAGCTTACAAAAATGAGTCAGTGCTTCCACCGTTAAAACTCTTTAAGAGTGTGCTGTGTATGAAAAGTGTTGGTATCATAAACAAGACCTTTTACAGGTTTAAACAAAACTAGTTCCTCCTTTCC